CCTGAAACGTTAACAAATTAACTGTTAATGACCTGTGTCCCCGTTCAAGCAAAGAAGAAAAACAAAAGTACAAAACAGAGGACTGCTCAAGTCGATTATTACTATGGAACAGTGCAACAACAATAGCAATGACCTCAAATTAATTACTACACATTAATTGATATAGTTTGCTAAATGAAGCTGAAATCAAGGTGACATAAAAAACACACACAAAGACATAGACAGATGAAAGGTTGAATATAAATCTGAAGAACAACAAGATTATGATTTGTTATACTACCAATAAAGATCAGATGCACAAAAAAACCACTTTACGCCTTAACAAATAAGCATTTCATAATTCGTAAATACTTCCGCTTTATGAATCACCGCTTTAATACATAAAATAACATTGGCATTCCTGACCATTTGCTGATTAGACAATAATTTTTTTCTTAAAACTATTAACATAAAACAGTGAATCAGTTGTCACGAAACTTGAAAACAGTTGAAAAAGCACTTTTTTTGTTTTGAAAATTAAAAAGTGGAACGAAAAAGAACGAATAACTGAAGGAAAAAAAATATACCAATTTAATAAACGAAAAAAAAACGTTGCGAACACTTACACATAAATGTATCATATTTTCAGACCGTTATATTAATCAGCAAAAAAGAAAGAAAGAAAAAAATGAAATTTAAACCATCACCGTTTCTTGCTATAAATATATAATTCATTCACTTTGTGCTATAAAATACTAAAAAATAAAAACAACAACAACAACAAAAAAGAAAAAAAAAAAACAAAGAGCTAAATTAAACAGCTAATTCAGTGTTAACGGTCAATACGAGAAAAAAAATAGGCACATTCATTCTTCGAGATTTAAAATAAAGAAGAAAGACTTGAAATAAAAAAAAAAACAACAACTAAAATACACACAAGCACATCGTTACCTAAGCAGCACTAATCAGATTACAGGAAAGATGACACCAAAGTCACCCTACAAAGCACCATCAATCCTTCCTTATCCGATTCTCCCATTACATTCAATCACATCTTTTACTATAATGACGATTCTCAAGCAATCACACTAAACTTCTCCTGCACCACATCACTGGTTATAAAAGCACAGAAAAAAAAAAGACCAAAAAGAAATTGGATACCATCTTCTCCTCAACCAGCCTACCATCTCACTAACACTCCATCTTTATAGTGGGCACTCAGTCGACCAGAAACATCAACTAAACTGAAAAACAAATTGAATAAGGTAATCGGTCTCAGACGACGGCCACTAAGACAAAAGTCACAAAAAAAGCACATGGACAGCCTCAGAAAAAAACACCGCCACCGCTACGGCGGCAGTAGCAGCAGAAGCAGCAGCAACGGCAGCAGCAATGAAGATGTTATAATTGGCGCGTTTCAAAACGCGCTTAAGGGCAAATATATAACCCACCCGGTCGCTGACCGTCCAACGCAACGCATTACATTAGCCATTTGTCCGTGTCCCTCTCTCTGAGCCTCTGGCCTCCGTCTCTCCAGCCCACCGGCATACGCTGCTGCTCTGTCCTCTCTAGCACTCTCGCCGTCGACGCATTCCTTTTCTCGACTTCGGTACCGCCTACTCAACCTAAGTCCCACCTTTTTTACCGTATGCACACCTAATTTGACCCTTTGCTCAGTCGTTACCCTTGTTGCCTTGTCTTTCGTCTCTGGGCCTCTGTGCATTTGCCGCTGTTCCCTTGTAAGGAGAAGTAATCTGAAAATTCCGGTGACTCAAGCTTTATGGAAGAGCAGTAACGCATCAGGAGATGCTTGTTTTTTTTTTTTTTGGTTCTTCTGGAATCCTAAAGAATTTTTTTTTTTAACTCTGCTGCTTTTAAATATACATTGTGATTAGAAAGTTGCAATTCCGGAAGTGGATGTTCCTTTTGTTTTGAGTAATTAGATTGAAAAGCAAAGAGAAGCAGCGGTAGCAGAAAAGCAAAAAAAAAAAAAAAAGGACGTATCATTTGTGGCACTAATTGTGGCAGAGAATTTTAGCTGGCACTTTTAAAATATGGCTATATTCGATCTATAAGCTAAGGGTAGAAAGGGGGACAATATAAGAGGAACAACAAAAGTATTCTTTTCCATCCTGGTTTTTTCTTCGCTATCCTTTTCACTTGTTGCTTAGTCAATACGTCATAGTACTTTTGAATTTGGGACAAACACATTTGATAGGATGCTTCTTGTTTGAACTTTCTTTTTTTTTTCCTCCCTTTGTCTTCAGCCGCACTAATCTTCCATCCTACAAATTGCTCTATAGACTTCTGCTATTACTGATAGTATTCGTCATCGTTGTTGTCGTGTCGTTGTCGTCAGTTCTTTTTTTTTTTTT